CAGCTAAAAGGTGTCTGGTGAATAAAGAAAATTTCAGAATAAATTTGTGACAATTTTCAAAACTACAGTATATATATATATTCACTGAGTGGTTACCGGCCCCCCGATTTTTGGAGGGGTGGAGACAATCCTAGGTGTGTGTAATTTGCATATTCCCTGCCCACCCTGCAGTACCTGACTGATTAAATAGGGTTTATATATGCAGAGTGTATCAAAAAAAGTATACAGTCAGAAAATTAACTGCAAAATAAACGTGAACATTTTTCGAAAATCTCTTCTCCTACATGGGTTGATTAGAGTATCATGCTGTTCTTAAACTTGTGATCATGAACAGATTTTCATGCCTGACTGACCTGGAGCTATTTTCCTAAATCGCTAAAAAATTGGCTCACGCAAACACTTGCTTTGCTCAGAATTGGATCAAAAGAAAACAAACTACAGTTTGCACAATATAGGCCTGTCACCAAATTCTGTATTAAGGGTTTGGTTCGTGTGCAGGTAACAGGCTGCACACTGCACGGTATGTAGCCTTGATCATGGAGAAAGGAGCGCCTTGGTCAAGGTTGCCTGGCAGAAAGTATACCTGTACATCGTACAAGTACTGATGCATGAGTGTACCTTGACCAATATTTAACATTAGACTAGCTCCACATTCTATGATGCTCAGTGGACCATGGGCCACACTCCAGTACTCCCAGTCAGCTTATAAGCCCCACTCTATGTCGGCATCTCTTAAGTCTCCTGACGACGGACAGAGCATACTGTCCGAAACATTGAGTTCCTCATCACGGTTCTTTTCAGAACCATACAGACTCACAAAAGAGATCGTATCCTTGCATGGTGCTACCGCAAGCTTTCCACCTTAGTTGTCTGTCACCATGAATAGCTTGAAATCCCCTCTACATAGTTCAAGTTGAAGGCCAGTATTCAGCAAACGCCGGTGGCCTGACGCTAGGCCTCAATCAAATTGCCTGCAGGGACTAGATCACAATATGCGTGACTTAATTCTCCCAATAGAGGGTTTGCTACCATCTTGCAGGCCACTGCTTTTGTTCCTCAGGGAATGCACCAATGGTACGCAAGAAGGTGGTTTCCCTGTGGAACAGGACAACTACCCTTCAAGATGGTTGCCACGCAAAGCATCAGTTTATGGCACTTGGACTAGATGGTTGGTAAATAAGCTACATGTAGGACCGCCAAATTACATTTCGGGAAATTGTTTCAATCAATATGACCATGGAAGAATCAGCACTTTCCGAAGTACAGGCAGAGATCGATGGGCTGCACTGGCCGGGCGGGACAACTGTGATTCTGGTCTTGGATGGCACCCAAGCTTCCTAACATTACGTTTCCAGGACGAAGTGTAGGCTTTGGTATTGGATGGGAGATTTGGCAAGATAAGAAGTGAATTTCAATTGACACCTGGCAAGGAACTGGAGATCTGGGCCAGCAACGCTTTGGGTGATTCTATTCCAGCTTTCTGAAGAAAAAAAAACCAGACAACCGGTAATAACCAAACAGCTGCAGCTGAAAAACTTGCCAGGGTTAAATGTTGAACTAAGGGAGGGTGAAAACTGCAACCAGCCAATAGTTTAGGTTGTTTCAACCCAATTTGGGAGATTGAAATTAATTTCTGGTTTGTTTTAACCAACAGTGGTTAATATCGACACATTTTGTGGGTGAAAATGGAACAAAAGTAATTCTCTTCCCAAAATTGGGTTAACGCTGCCCATATTTGGGTAGTTGCAGTTTTCACCCTTCCTTGGGTTAAAATTTAACCCAGGCAATTTTTCAGTGTGGAAAACCTGGGAACTTCGCAAGGGTAGGCTAAATATTGCATACAAGTCGGTAAATAAATATTCTATCAGTAGGCATTAATTAAAAGCTTCATACTGGCGTTGCACAAAGGCAAGCAAGCGTAGCGCGGCATCGGCTTGGCGCCCGACACCAACAGCTGCCAAAAACCCCTCAACGTGTGGTCCGGGAAGAACTTAAGGCTGCGTCCGAATTTCTTGTCTAGAGCTAGGTCTTCACTCCATTAGAAATGCGT